AAGGATGTTAAGGGGTCTTGGTAGCTGGCATCCGTTGTGAAACAGCTGCTCGCCCAGCAAAGAGTTCGAAGAAGTCATATGGGCCCAATGGTTTCTGGGGAAGCTCAAGCCACCCGGCAAGCAATACCTCAGCCATCATGGGGAAGGATTGAAGCCACGCGCATTTTGATAGGTAATGTTCAAATTGCATGCGATGGTGCCAGGCAAATAAAGGCCTGACAGGTCCATCGCACTATAGATCAAACCACATACTTGCACAGTGCTAGTAGCTAGCATATCGATCTATAGCACTCCAGGCCTTGGGCGCTTGCACGTGCTGAAGTGTGGATACAGGGTCCCACATGGCACTATGCTATCCTATAGGCTACAGTGCAGGCTTTCGATCCGCCAAATACCCACGTTGAAACATGTCGAACGAGCTAAACATGAACATACCACATCGTGAACAAGACTCAAAGCTGTCCGCTGGAAACAGGTCAGGTTTGGCCACTACTCCGTGCTCGCCGCACCCACATCCTTGCTCGTGTCGGGGCCTCCAAAAGAGAACAGCAAAATAAAATATCCATGCATCCTTTGCTATGCTGCACGTGTTGCCTGAAGATATCACATCGCAAATCTTTCCCCCAAAAAGGTCGGCGAAAGCACGATCCTATGGCTAAAGCAGTGGTTCCTGCCCAGCCCAACGCCGCAGCTTTCAGACTTAACCCCGCTCCGTGTTCATCACGGAGATGAAAATCAACCAATCACGAAGTTGCTGCATACGCCTTAGTCACATGCATGCGCACACACCAAACTACTGGTCGATATGAAGCGTATGAATGTTGTTGATCAGCATGAAAACATTTCCCATTGCACCAAACATATCACTGGCAAGGCGCTGCTTTGGCCAGCTGTTTTGCACTCTCTTCATCAAGTCCATTCTTCAAGGCTGCCACCTTGGCTTTGTGGTAAGCGGCAGACTTCCTCGAGTAGCAAGCCTTCTTGGCTGCGGCCTCAGGGCTGACCTCCTCTGAAGCGTCAGCACTTCCACGCTTCTTTGCAGCCTTGCCTTTGGAAGGCTCCGCCTTGGCATTTCCGTCTAAAGCCGTTTCGGCAGACGGTTTCTCCACTTCAGCCGCATCTGAAGCAGTTGCCTTGGCACGCTTTCCTGGACCTTTTGTCTTGGTCCCCTCCTTTGAAGCGGTTGCTTCAGGAGGTGTTGCATCCGCCTCAGCTTCATCCTTGGCACGCTTTGCTCGAGCTTTGGTCTTGGGCTCCTTCTTTTCCTCAACATCCGTTGAAGCCGCTGCCTTGCCCTTTGCATTGTCTGTGGGCTTGGCACCACTTTCAGATGCATTCTCAGTTGAACTGGCTGCCTTGCCAGACTTTGCCGCAGACTTCGCCTTTGCCTTTGCCATGGGCTCAGCGGCAGTGGTTGCCTGGACACACTGTCCGCTGAGGCGATCAGCATCATTTGGCTCAAGCACTTGTGCTTTGGACCGGCTTTTTGGCTTTGATTCTTTGTCACCAGAGGCTTCAACAGCTTCCTGCTTCTTTGCCCTGGCCTTGCTCTTTGGCTTAGCTGGCTCTGCTTCACCAACGGCTTCTCTCTTCCGGCTCCACCGGGCCTTGGGCTGGCATTCTTCGTCATCTTCTTGATCCTCTTTCTTCTTCTCTTGATTCTTTGCCTTGGCTTTCCCTCGAGGGTTGTTCTCCTTGAACTCCGAAAGTCGCTCGCGCTGCTGAGCAGGTGAGATGGGCTTCACAGGAAGGAGAACTTCATCAGGTCGAGGTACCGGTTCATTCCCCGAGCTTTTCTCCAATCTCTCCGGCTTTGTACCGGATTCCGCAGATTGCAGAGGCTCCTGCGCTGGCTCACTTTTCTCCAATCCCTCTGGCTTTGCGCCGGATTCCGAAGATTGCAGAGGCTTCTGCGCTGGCTCACTGGTTTCTTTCTCCAAGGGCGATGGATTCACAATCGCCTGTGGCTCTGGCTCAGGAACAGGCAACGGTTTCTCTCCAACCTCGCGGGGCTGGTCCTCTTCAACTTCATCTTCACGTGCCCAGATTGAGCCAAGGGATGCAGTTCTTGCCAACTGAAGAGAAGGCTTCTCACCTTCCTCATGGGTGTCGGCAGGTTGACTTTCAGTCACCACCGCATGTGCCTCATAGTCCATAGGCAAAGTATCCATTGTATCCACGCCTCAGATTGTACGGGATGATACAGGATGTACAAGGCACAAATTATTTCATGCACATGGATTTGCACATGTTGGGAGCCATTGAATGCAGCTTGGATACACATGGTAGAGACACCGGCCGAAGCAGCAGAAGGAGCGATGCAAGGTCCAACTTTCTTGCTGCCCCAACCCAGGTCGAACAAGCTGCGTTGATCTGAATCTGGCGGAGCATCGAAAGGATTGGATTCCACTGGCTCCTTCATCTTACCTTCCTTCATCTTGCCTGGCTTCCCATGGGTTGATGGTTTTGGTTCTTGATTCTTGCCATTCTTCACCAAAGCTTCCTCCCTCTTCTTCCTCTCGAAGGCCCTCAGAGCAGCGAGCTGGTTCTCCATTTCGACCATGGCCAACTCTTCTTGGAGTAGTTGAATGGCAAGTTCCTCTTCCTTCAAGAACTCCAGGATAGTCTTGTCTTCATGGCAGGCTGGTAAGGCTTGAGGCAGAATCTCAGGTGTGCTTTGGTCTGGCAAGGGTGGTAGTATGCATTGAAGAGCTCGCAAGTCACTGATATCTCCAACCATGGAGCATTTGACACACCGGTATGCATAAGCACGATCTTTGACAATATGGTGCTCAGTAGGACCAACTGGAAGGTCAGCCAGCGATCCTTGTCACAGTCAAAGCTGACAAGAGACATCGAGAGTAGAGTCCCGATTTCAGATCGTTTCAGTAGGTTTGCCAAAAAAAATAGTGCCTTATTACACATCAATAATGCATGCCACCGGGGTACCACCGTCACATCCAGCGGGCGCAGTTTGTTCCATCCAGTAGGTGCTCGATGTGGATGACGGCTTGCGTTGACCTGGAGTGAGTGGGTTTGGGGCCTGAGGGGCAAAGGGAAGAGATGAAGAGGGTCACAAGGAAAGTGACAAGTAAAACAACTTCACTGCCTGAAGTGGAAGGGTCAGCTTCTTTGGTCTCCACTTTCATAGTCACATCTGGACATGGTTCCTTGCGAGGGCTGAAGGAGGACACCAAAGGTCTAGCTATTAAGTTTCTTGTTTATGAGAAGTGCAGGCAAAATGGCTCTTGCGGGCCTCATCAGGCTCAACCACAGGGTCATGCTCCTCCTCATGTTCACTCTCATGACATTCTTCTTCACACTTATAACTTTCATCATCTAGATCATCAGGTTCTCCATCACCAACGTCACCCACAGCAGCAGATAGGTCAGAAGACGAGTTGCCTGAGGTTTAAATCAACAACAGGGTAAACTCAATCATGATACCTGGTGCACATACCGGAAAGTGTGATGTGCAGCCAATTTGCCACTCCGACCACGTAGGCTGTTCAGGGGGAATTGGGATGTCGGCAGCTTCCATGATGGCTCTGATTTGAGGTTCCCGTGGACGATGACCCCGTTTAATCGCACGGGAGGCACAATAGACCAAGTTTCTCAGGATCCATGCCTCGCAACTGACTTCATCGCCTTAGCATACCAACCCCCGACCCACATCAACCCACTATATGGAGCTATAACTTACCATGACAGCAAATTCTGTTTCAATTGAACTTCAACAAATCTAAATAAGACCCCAGCGGGTTGGTAATTTCTTTCCCCGTGGGCGGGCAAAATTCAGAAAGAGTTCAACGGCATCAGATAGTTCTGCCAAGGCTGGTCGCATTCCTTGGCTAATGCTCGCATGAGCCATACATAAAATGATGTAGCCTGGAACAACAAAGAACTTACACCAAAAACATGTGTTTGCAGCTTATGTTCCAAGGTGTTGAACCACTGGAATGAGTGCTTGGACGTTCTGGCAGACCTCTTTCCGGTTCATGACTTTGTTGTTCTCTACCTTTGCCAACACCCCTGTAGCAGCAAGTTCAACCAAAGACGTGGCTGATTGCCACGCTTTGACAAGATCTCGCACAACTTCCGAGTGTGCCATGAGCTAGGCACCGATACTATGCTAGCAAAAGATTTGGCCCAGCTTCCCCCAAATGGCTGCAACAACAAATCAGTGGTGCGCAGAGTCACACAAATATGGTTTCAACAAATTCCAGCGCAGCCCCCTTGTTTGTTTGCCCGTGTTTGCCTGTTATCTTGACATCTCCCAGGCAATTGTCATAGAGTACCTGGTGGCGTGCACAGCGCTCGAATGGGTGGTCACGGAGATGCGTGTGGTGGACGGGGGTAAGGCGCACAGCAGGATGTTGAAGATATCCCTTAAGATCCCTCAAGGATCGATGAGCTCCCGTAGGCAGAGCAAAAATGGCTCCAGTGGACGGCAGCTGACATGCTCAAATAAGAAAAACGTTCGTTCTAAAAAAAAGCGCTCGTTCTGAAAAGAACGCTCGTTCTATCATGAAACGCTCGTTTTGGTGATTAGTGCTACGAATAGGCAAAGAGGCAGATACTTCTGCTCGTTGGAAGTTCCAGGACTATTATAGTACAATAGAACGGGGCCTCCCAGGGGGAGATGTGAAGTTCAAAGGGGATGCTAGCAAAACCATTTGAGAAGTCTAGTGCCTCTTTCTTTGTGAGTCAAAAGGTGCCCCACGTCCCAACGAGTTACACACCCTTCTTTGAGGCTTCGGGAGGACCTCTGCACAATTGGAGTCCATCCTGCAAGATTTTTTTTGCAGAGTGAGTTCGCTAGTTTGTTGAGCTTTGGGAAAAAGTAAGGGTGCCTCCCAAAGGTCAGGAAGAACCGAGGAGCACTGGCTGAGGTGAGATTCCTGAGTGTTCACCACTGTTTGAACTTTTCCTTACTTTTGGTGCAAAATCATGGTCTTCCCAGTTCCCGAAGAGCTAGCTCCCCGGCGCCCTCTTGCTAGGGCAGGGTGCTCAAAGTGTGGGGATGTGCAAGGAATTGGTTGAGGCACGTTGGGCACGGTTTGTTGTTATTGTTGTATTGTTGTCGTCGTCGTCAGTACGCCCTTTCTCATGAACCCACTGCAAGTCGAGCATTTGTTCAGGGACGCGCAACGCAGTGTCAGGCGACCTCAAGCGAAAAGTGTGCTTGATGTGCTTGACATCGACGGTGGTAAAAGCCAAACCGTTTAGTGAGCCGAACACCTATGTGCCATCCATGGGACTCCAAGGTGCTGCCAATCTGCCAGCACCTGGTTTCTTTTGCTTTCCATGCTCTTGATATCTTGAGATTTTGATCCTTCCGTTTCTTTTTTTCCCTGGAATCTTGACCTAGTCACTACTTGGAATCTTCTGTCCTTTTTGCACTTCCGTTTCTTCTTTCTCCTAATCGCCACCTGGATCTTCCAACGACCAAAAAATTATGGGTAGTTTTGGTTATTGACCCGGTTTTCCGCGCAAACGCCCGCAAATCAGCGCAACCGACAAAACGACCGCAAATTAGCACAAAACGCGCGCAAAAAACCAGCAAACGACCACAAAAATCCGCAAAATAACGCAAAACAAACAAAACGACCAAAACGACCATAAAACCAAAACAACCATATTTTTTTGGTAGTTGGAAGGTCCAGGCAGTTTCTTTCCCCGGTCTAGCCAGCTGTCGTGTTCTGAAGTCCTGCGACGACTTCGTCGCGCCGTTTCTGCAGGTGCTTCGAGTCTTGAGACCACCCGAGCGACCCTGCGGAGCGACCCTCATCGACCATTCCGTTTGGGACACCCCCGACGCGCAGGTTCCAAAAGCCAAGGAATTGCGGTGGCCTCGGTGGGAGAGACGAGAGACGAGAGGAATTGCGGTGGTTTGTGCTCCGGAAAGGCGCTTGGAATCAGACGCGTTGATAGCATCGTCAAGAGTCTTCAAGTAGATAGTACACATGATCAAATGATATCAAATGCATCTTGTATTCATCACAATATGACATCAGTTGCGACATGAGTCATATGACCATGTCCCTGCTCTCTTGACGTCTTCAATTCTTAGGTAGCTGTGTTGTCAACATCTGCGTTTTTCTGGCAGGTAGACCTTGGTAGTCCATTGTGATTCTTGTGTGGTGAAGCAGTGTCCCCGTTCACCAACATCGCCAAGTGTCTCGAGGTCGGCTTAACCCTGGAGCGCAGGTGTTAGTCGTATTTACATGTTTTTACTCAAGGGCTGTTTGACAGGTATCCTCTTACTTGAACAATAGCCATATCATTCCATAGCCACTTTTCGACCGAAGTGTCCCAAGCGAGACACCCCGAGGTTTGAGACGGCCAGTGACATCGTAGGCGCCCCAAACCCGGCAAAGCAGCTGCCAAACTTGTGCCCAGTCGAGCGTGCAAAGGGGAAGAAAACCAAGAGAGACACCCGGATAGTAAAGAAACCATGTTGTATACGATATGTAATGATATATTATGATAGATAAGATTAGAGGATATATCGGTGCTGTCCTATCCAACTCCAATTGGAGGCTTGAGCGTTGTGAAGAGAATCTACGAGTTCTACAGATCTGGATTGTAAGGCATTCATGTTAAGGCCCTTTTTGCTGTGCGACGAGACAAAAGAACCATCGCTGTGGGGGAAATGGGCCATTGTGGACTAAAGACAAACCAATCGATCCGGCTCCAGCTCATTAATACTCGAAAGCCTTTTGATCAGGTGTACCTTCACGATTGGTCGAACCAGAATCAATTTCCACCATTGAAAGAGGGGAAGTTCAGACACCTTTTGCTTTTCTCCTTTCTCATGCACTTGCTCGAATGGCCATGGCAATCAATTGGTGGACGAGGTCACAGGTACAGCCTCCAGGCTCGGTGCGCCGAACCGCAGGTTATGACCTTCTGGACTGCTGCGTCAACGGCCCAAAGGAGGACCTGGGCCGGTTTGGGATCGGCCATCGGCGGCCCGTTTTGGACTCTGAAGGCCCGAACGTTCGACTCCGCATGATCCGAATTGGAGTCAATTACGATAGACATGGGACATGAGTATGAACCAAACCCCATCTGAAGTCCTTTTCGGGTACCAATCCTTCTTTTGATGCGTCCCTCCGTATACCCAGATTCTTCCATGCCACACTCCTTTTCCATGCCGCACATCCTGATCATTGATGCCACACACTCCGCACATCCTCATGGCACTTGGGCACTCCCACCCGGCAGTCCCTCGAGGAGTTGGATCGGACTGCGGTCTCGCAGCCTGCTATCTTCGTGGCATCCATGGTGTGGGTCTTCGTCGTGTTGGGATCGGAGGGACCGGACCCGTCGTTTGAGGTCAATGACGAGGGGAACCCTTCATGAGTGGGGGTGTAAAAGTCTTCATGAGAAGCCAACTGAATTTGTGTGAAGAACTACATCTCTGCTCGGCGTGAAGTGTTGAGCCAGTCCAAAACGGATCCGAGATGATACATCGAAGGAGATATTTCGAGATCTGTGGCGTGGAGTTTGGTTGGTCCGGCTTCCTGAAGGTTTGACCCCCTGGGACTTTATAGCTCTGGAGGTCCGGCCCTTTTTGTGCTGCACCGGGCCAAGGAGATCGAACAGCCTGGCAGAGCCCTGAAGGGACCCTTCTGATGTCGTGGAATGGATTTTTAGTCTTTAGTTCTGCTTGTGGATGTTTGTAATTTTTTCAATTATGTTTGAACGTAACGTTCAATCTGATGCCTCCTTGGATTCCATAATGTTCCACGTACCTTCCCATGATTGGTGCTCTTCGGTCCAACTGGTGCTCTTGGGATGCACCTGTCACTAGCGATGCCCTTGTTACTAGTAGCGATGCTCTTGGCTTGAGTTTCGAGGTCAGATCAACCCCGCTCATCACCTCCCTGCGCGTTTCACACAGCGTGCGCGCACGTGAGCCGGACACGCGCGGTGCAGGCAGCCGTGGAGAAGCTCCGCGCCGAGGGTGGTGAAGATGCCATTGAGGAGGCCACTGTGGCCGGGACGCCTAGGGTGGAGAAAGTATGGGGGGAGAACAAGCCGGCGAGCCGCATATAGCCGCATGAGGTCAGACTCTGTGGTCACAGATGGCGGCCTTCGAATCATAGGAGGACATCCCAGGAAGCTCCATCATCGGTAGCGGTAGCACGCGGTAGCTATGTTTACAGATGTGGGAGGCCCTTTCGAACGTTCCGCTTTTGGTGGTGCTTTCCAGCAGGGGGCGCTCGTGATGTCCTTAGTGCTTTCCAGTATTTTCTCGATTTGTTCTGCCTTTTGCCGGTGCACCCCATTAGAGATTGCCCCATTCACTTCCTCTTAATCATAGATCGGGCCTGGTTCGGGGGCCCTCCATTTTCACAAGCAATCCATGGAACTGAACATTAGCTCGAGATCTTTCGCTCTTTGATGCAGACTCCATGGAACTTCACGATTTGACCGCTTGCTGAGGCCATGGGCTTGTCGCTGGGAGAGTACAGCACGCTGGCTGAGGGGTTGGATCAGTTGGATCAGATGGGAGGCATCAGACTGGGCTCGGCCAAAACCAACACACACTGGTTATGAACATGATGGAACGGGGCCCTCATGTTAAGTTTTAAGCGACACTTCTCTTGAAAGAACAGCGATATATATATATATATATCATATATTAGAATACAACAGAGGTGGCCATCAGACTGATGCATATTGCTTTGGTGATGGTGATGGTGCCATAGACACACCAAAAGCAGGCAGCCCAACTGTGACAGCCCACTGAATAAAGGGGAACTCAGAGGTGAGCATTATTTGTCGTGCCAGTGGAAGAGCTTTTGGACATGTGTGCGTGCTGAAAAGCCTCACCGGTTTCATACTATCATACTATGTCACTATGTGCCAGCCACCTCAGACCCAGTGCCGCGTTCTTTCGATTGGTCGGGTGGTATGGCGGTATGGGGGGATTGGGTGAGATATACAGAAACCATTTTACGGATGGGCAAAACATACTTGTTACTGGTAGCCTGGCACTCATTGTCCATGGTTCCCTATCTTCAAACATCATTGATGTGGGGGAGATACTTAAAAGCATGTTCGATAACTGCCCTCCACACACTTTCACTGGGACATCGCCATCATAAACCAACCCGTCTCTTGTTCCAGTCACTGTCCATGTTCCTCGGTGCCCCATCCAGATCAAGGTGCTTTGAGTTTCGCCGGTGCCTTGAGTTGGGAGGCCCATCTTTGCGAGCCCAGGGCGGCCGAATCTGAGGTGGAACATCCAGGTGGCCTCATGATCTGTAGCGATGTTTAAACACTTTTGACTTTTGTTGGTTTAGTATATATATATAGTTATATATATATATTGTTTGTTATCTAAGTATATATGTTTTTGGGGGGTTGCCAATAGAAAGCTGAATGAACTATGTTCTCACTGTATGATGTGCCCCTATTTTTGTTTGACAAACAGAGGACAGTTGGTGCCTTTCCACCTTTCCACATACATGGAGCTGCTGTGGCCCTTCTGTTTTCTCCGCGATTCCTGGGATCTTATGGATTGGACAGGCCTAGGCCTACGGGTGCTGTGCGTCAAACAAACAGGGTTTTATATAACAGGTTCGGGCCAGTTGGTTGGGGGTTGCTGAAAAGATAGCATCCAGCAAGTGGCATCATAGCAGATGCTTCTATATTTGATAGATCTTCACATGGCACCTCTGTGTGTTGTCATGGGAAAAGAAGTTTTTTTTTTTCCCTAAGCAACACCATCAAAACCGAAGCTCTAGAGCCTCCTGCCCTTAGTCTCTCTGGCACAAGGTTTGCGCCAACTGGGTTTCAAAAAGAGCTGCGCCGTGGTTCCCTGAGCTCGACACTGAACACATCTGTGCCTTCTAGGGTCCGAACACCAAGTCAAACGATGAGAAGGATGCACAACAGGCCCAAGGAAATCCGCGCTGCTGGAAAAGCAAGGTTTGCCAGCTAAAACCGAAACCTTGTGTTTACCCCAATAGGCCAAAATCGTGAGCTCACAGCGGGTGCAGCACCGCCTGCTACCATACCCCTGAGAAAGAACAGGACCCCACAGGTGACGAGAATGCGTGACGTGCAAAAACTGAATGAGCTCACTCCTAGTGGCAGGCTTGGGGCTACTCTGTACTTGCAACGGCTTACTGATTCCTGGTTCCTTCTGGCTTAGCCAGAATCTGGCAACCTCAATCAAACGTGTCTGGATCCTATGCACTCTAGCATCTACCCAGGTCAACAGTTCCTGTTTAGCTCTCAGGTTCAGCGATTCAGCAAGTTGATCGGCAAAGGTAGAAGCCGTGTGATCCGCCTCTGCGTTAGCTTGGTGCATCCACTGCTGGTCTGGAAACAGTCGCTCATGTTCTGTCTTTGACAGGTGAGATCGCGTCCAGTGAATTTCAACCTCAGCTCTTTCCTTTTTCTGCCTAGCTAATGGCCCCCAGATATCCAAGTCGGCAGACAGCTGGGTGATGTCTTTGAGTTTCTTCCATTTCCTAAAAACAGCTTTGGCATCGATGCAGCTTTGAACGGGGCCTTCAGTCATTTCTAGCAGCTTTAGAAACGCAAAAGCTTCTGCTCTTGGCACTGTTTGTCGGCCTGGGATGGTTCCTACAAGGGTGCCGACAACAGAGTGAGGGCCGACAGCTGCAAGGGCCACTACACCAAATCCAACCTGCCGCAAGCGTGGCTCTTTACTCAAAGGCCCTCCAGACCCATCAGTGGCAAATATGAGGCCGGCAGTGGAGACAGGGATCAAATTGGCCCAGATGCCAGTACCTTGAAGGTGCGGTGGGCCAGGGCTGACTTGGCTCCAAGAAATCGGGGGAATGCCTCTGCACCAAAACGCAGTTTCGTCCACATGGGGCGCCCAAGCTGGCGGCACATCCCCCACATGACGTAACATCGCTGGGCACTGCCAAATTCTGTGGAACAAGCCGTCTTCCGTGCTGCAGAGAGGACATGGTTCAAACCCAGTCTGGCTTCCATGGTAGAGGCCTCCCTGCAGCATCAAATCCAGAAGGGGTAAGTCACTCCCTTTCTCTTTGGCCAACTGCTTCCTGTGTTTCTTGGCAACAAACAAGTCTCCGCCTTGTTCAAGGCCTTGACCTCCTTGCCAGTGACTGGCAATATGCCAACCTAACAAATCCTTGCAAAACTGGAAACGCTCAGCGAAACGCCAGTAGAAGTCCGGGTCCCTGACATCAACTGGCCAGCTTTGCCCAGTGGGGTCAATCCAAGTTTCCAAGTCATGCGCTTCCCACAAAGCGTCTTTCAGGTATGCAAGACCAGCAGCGAGTGGCCCCTTGACTATGGACCAGTGCTTGTCATGCTGGAAAACTTGTTTGGCAAGACTTTGCCAAACTTGATTGCACATCTTCATTTGGGTCTCTGCCTTTGCGCTAAAGAATTTGCAAAGTTGCCTAAAATGTTCCAATGGATAAAAATGTTTGGGTCACTTTTGGCATCAAAAACGAGGCGAATGGCAGTGTGCAGGCAACCAGATCCCTTCCTAAGAGCACCTCCATGGCCGATGACCGCCCGCATTTTTTTGCAAGGCTGTGAGGCTGACTCCTTGGGCCTGGTGCCCAAACTTCATAGTTGGCACGAGATTGGTGAAAACAAACTTGTGGCCATGAGCTTTGGGGAGGTACTTCAATCTACTGAGCCGCTTTCTAGCTTTGCCAAATCTGGCCTTGAAAGTAGGCAATCTACGGAGTCTACCGGCGGTGCTATCACAACCCAAGTCGCGTAGGACTGACTGCACCTGCGGAACTTTGTTTGCGACTTGCTGCAGGCAATGCTTGAGCTCTCTTGTGTTGACTACAATGCCAGACTTGTTTGGGCTGAGCTGCAATTTGGCTTCTTTCAAGCTGGCCTGCAGAGTTTGGAAGACTTTCACCATTCGATCGGCAACTTGCCGTGGGCTGCGGCCGATCACGTCAACTGAAATGTCATCTACCCAAGAGCACACTCGCAGAGACGGATGGATGCAATACACTAAGCTGCAAGTTTCCCACAGGTAAAGTTTTGCTAAGGCAACAGAAAAAGGGCACCCTGCTATTATGCTGCGCTCCGTGTGCACAGCTTGGGAACTCTGCCCTTCTGCGCAAAGGAATCTCGGGCCACCATGAACTACCATGGCATGGTGCAAAAGCATTGGCGGGAAACCATGTTTTCTGCCTGCCTCCAGCAGTTTTTGGCGACATACCGTGTCATAGAAGTGCTTCAAGTCCAACAGGATGGAACCTTGTTGAATTCCAAGGCCTTTGAGTAATTCTGCTTGACCTTGCCGGTGGAAGGAGATGTCAAAAATAGTGCCTTTTGGCATGGCGTGGTCCCATGGTGTCAAATTTTCCGCTTGCACATGGTGCAGCCACCTGCTCAACAAGTAACTTCGCATCTGGCACCAGGTTCTATAAAAGAAGCTGGTCAAGCAGATCGGCCTTTCTGAAACTATGCTTTTAGGCAACAAGGCAATCTGTGTGAAAACGGCTTGGGACGGCCAGTTTCCTGTGTTTTCAATTTGGTGGTAAACCCAAACAAGGTTGCTAATAGCTTCCTCTGGCCATCGCTGCAACTCTGCTATCGTCCACCCATCCGGGCCTTGCTTCTTTTTGCCCATGTGCTGCCAAGTTTTGCGCAGTTGAGAGCTGCTGATTGGCTTTTGTTTCTGGGCTTCTGCTATGGCGGCTTCTTTGGTTTGGATTTCAATCAGGGTGGGCTGCGCAGCCGGATCTTTGCTGCCCCAAAAGCCTGACCAATATTCGACTCTGGCTTTCATTCTGGCCTGCACGGGCAGGTGCTGAAAGGGTCTGGCCCATTGAGCCTCAGGCTGCTTAAGAAACCTATGTATGGCCCGACTGCCTGTTCGCATAGCATTTTCGGCCCATGTAGCAAATTCTTGACGTATTGTCTTCAGGACTTGGCCCTGCAGTGTGTGCTCGATGTCAGCGAGCTGCAGGCGCAGCATCTCTCTCGTGCTGGGCCGCAAATGCAGGACATGATACAGGCTATACTGAAGGCCAAGCAGGCCAAACCGGCCTTTACAAGGATCTGCCGTCCAATGCTCTGGCATTCGGTGGACTTTCCGACACAAGCACTTGACTAGAGTCTGCAAATGGCGGCGGACATTTTTGACTTGCTTCTGCAAACAACTTATAATATCCTTGAACAATCTATGTAGGCCTAGCCAGTATTGAAGCTGCTTGTCCTGGACTGAGGTTTCTCTTAGTACAGGCGCTTTGGGCTCTTGGTTTTTAACCTGGAAAGAAATACCACGTGCAGGAACAGGAGTCACGGAAGTGGAACTCAAAAAGTTGGAAACTTGTCTCTGCAGTTTGCCGAAAACTTGAGTGAGCTCACTATCCGTGTGAAAATGGTTGCACTCTGGCATCGCACTGGTGTCAAAATTTTCCAAGGCAGTAGAAGATTCCCAGGGAAGCCTCGGACCGGAGCACAAATCCAGAGGCGGCCTGTCCTCCAGCATCTCGCAAGGTTGGAGCAGAGGCCCGTCCAGGTGTAAAGTGCCAAGCAGCCCATAGTGGGGGCCCCACGGGACATCGTGCTGAACTTCTAATTCCATCCGTCCCCACAGGCTATGGGAGAGGATTGCATAGTCCAGGACACTCCCAGAACTAATGGTGGCATCTGGAGTGGCCAAAATGTTGCCCTTGATGCGCCTAAGCCAAGTTGTTTCTAGCAACTCCTCTGGTTCGCAGTTGAAGTCCCCCATCACAATGTAGGGGATGTTCAACGTTAGGATTAAAGCACCAACTTCTGTGAGCACTTGTCGGTTGGTGTATCCGGTGGGCCCTTCGCCAACCTGCAAGTAGAGCATGACCAAAAGCATCTCTGTGTTTTTGGCTTGGAAAATGCTCGCAGTCCAACGGTGGTCATGATTTCCCGGCGCGTCCAGGCGAGACAGGTGTTTCCTGAAGGCCAACGCAACTCCGCCGGTTGTTCCTCCCGTTTCGTTGCACCGTGCATTGGCAATGACCGGCTGCCAGCCAGCCGTCAGCCAATCCACTTTGAACTGGGGCCAATGTTCAGGGCCCTGATGGTGTTCGGCGACACCGCAAATGTCGACCTCTTGGCTGAGAATTCGCTGCTTTGCTTTGAGGGACCAGGAAGTGATGTTCCCAAAGAAGATTTTGAGCGGCTTATTTGCGCTCACCGTTGCTGGCGCCGGGTGAGGGTCTTGGCCAGC